GAAGGCAGACGCTTAACGACTGAGCCACCCAGGCGCCCCAACACACACCAGATTTCAAATACTTAGTACAAAGAAAAAATAAATATCTCTTTAATACTTTTTTTTAATAACGATGATGTGTTGAAATAACATTTTGGATGCAATGGGTTAAAGAAAATATGTTATTAAAATTAATTTCATCTGTTTACTTTTTTTTAAAAAGATCTTTATTTATTTGAAACAGGGAGAGAGACAGCGAGAGAGGGAACACAAGCAGGGGGGAGTGGGAGAGGGAGAAGCAGGCTTCCCGCGGATCAGGGAGCCCAATGCGGGGCTCAATCCCAGGATCCTAGGATCATGACCTGAGCCGAAGGCAGACGCCCAACGACTGAGCCACCCAGGCACCCGTTTCCTTTTATTTTTTAATGTGGCTACTGAAAAATTTAAAATTACACATGTGGCTCACATCCTATTTCTATTGAACAGCGCTGATCTTGAACATTGCCTGGCATATAGTATGTGCTCAACAAATATTTCTTGAATGAATACATCTGGAAAACAGCTGGATATCCACTTCTGAGTTTGTTGGAGGTCCAGGCTTTGCACACATAGCTGACCATCATCAGAGAAATGTTGCACAGCACGCGCGTGGATAAGCCCTTGGGCCTCAGGGACACCTTCAGTCCCTCATGAACGCAAATTGACGAAGCACCTCCTCTGCGCCAGTGTGGAGGGGCGAGCAATGCCATCCAGCAGGCGAGCTATGCCTGGGGAGGCAGGGGTGCTGCGGGGCGTCTAGCTCCGCCTTGGGGGTGGACAATGTGAGGGACGGCATCTATTTCTTCCCAAATGAGACCAAAAGGTAGGTAGGTATTAGCTAGGGTGGGGAGGGGTGCTGCAGAGAGGCAGGCTCCTCCAGGCCAAGAAACAGCATGTTCAAACATTTGGAAGGAGATGGGTCACTGTGCCTGGCAGGAAGATTAAACTCAGTATGGTTTGGAGCACAGAAATCATAGGAAGCCCAGGCCATGCGGCTGGGGCAGGACTGGACAGGGCGGGACTTCAGAAGCCTCATTCGGGTGCTGGACTTACCCCAATGACAGGGAGCCCCCGAGGGCGTAAGCAGGAGGACTAGGAGACAATCAGGCAGGGTGGGTGGTGGTGGCCTGCTCAGCAGGGTTGGATAAAGCCCAGGGCAGGGTCAGATGGTGGCCCCTGGATGTCACTTAGGTCCTGGGTGATCTTCGGGAGAGCAGCCCCACTGGGGTGGCAAGGGAAGAAGACAGATGGGGGCGGAGAGGAGGCAGGAAGGGGACAAGAGGAAGCCACGTAGGTTGCTCTTTGTTTTCCCCCAGGAGGGAAGATGGTCGTGGCTGCAGGGAAATGCAGGGCCGGGGGCATGTTTTGGGGCGGATTTCTTTCGAGGATGGAAGGAACTTGGCCATGTTTATGGACTTGGGGAACAGCAGCAGGGTGTGAGAGTGAAGCTAGGACAGAGTCCTGCCTTCTGACCCTACTGCCCACCCCCACTCTACTTCCAACAAAAGGGACCGCTTGGCCACCCTGCCCAGGCCACACGGTCGAGGGTGTGGATGGTGCCCACAAGCCCTCCACACCGAGTCCTGCCCAGGGTGAAGGGGCACCTCTCTCCTCCCTGTGTGGGCTCCATTAAGCGGGGAGAGCTTCCTACAATACCCCTGCAGGTAAGGGGGGAGCCATTGTGCCTGTTGCCGGCAC